TTTTGGATTAAACCTCGGACTGTGCACAATGCGGGGCAAGCACTACAACGGAGCTATGCCCCAGGCTTTTTAAGTATTTTCTTTAATGCTGGGGAATGTAATCTGTTACAGGTGATTTTTTTTTCCAGTTTTGAATTGTTGTTTTTCGTAGTTTTTTTGTTTTACATTGCTGGGGATGGAATGTAGTTCTTGCACATGATAGACACATGTTCTACTACCAAGGCATGTCTTGGTCATTCTCCTGTTAAGCTTGTGTGTATTTAACCTAATTTTAAGTTATTGTTGGGCGGTGGTGGCGCACACCTTTATTCCAGCACTTGGGAGGCAGGGACAGTGGGATCTCTGAGTTCAAGGCCAGCCTGGTCTACAGAGCAAGTTCCAGGACAGCTAAGGCTACAACCCTGTTCCAAAATCCAAAAATAACAAATTTTATTTTTATTTATTTGTTGGCAGATTTTTGTGGGGTTGTTGTTGTTGTTGTTGTTTACTAGAGACAGGGTTTTCTGTGTATCCCTGACTGTCCTGGAACTCACTCCGTAGACCAGGCTGGCCCCGAACTCAGAGATCCGCCTGTCTCTGTATTGGTGAAATTATTAAGGCCACTCCACGTAGTTAAAAGGATATTTGTTTAATGGCATAACTCACAAATTAAGGGATAGGTAGGTCGCAGGGTCTAGGGAAGGTGTATCTCAATCCAGCGGTGTTCTCCGGAGCTCTGCTCGGTCCATCTCCACCGTTCAGGGTCCCAGGAACAGAGAGCCCTCGCCCATCCAGCTCTCGGGTCTCCAGGCGCCTCCCCTGGCCCCGCCTCGTAGGCGTGACAGTTGCCAGAGTCTCAATGGGGGTTGGAACTTCCAGATCCAAGCTGGAATGGCTACCCACTACACCTCTGCCTCCCAAGTTCTGGATTAAAGGCATGTGCCATCACTGCATAGCTATGTTTTTGTGTCTTGAGGATGGCCTTGAACTCCCATGTAGCCTGGGACGGCCTTAAATTGTCAGTGGTCCTCCTTTGGCCTGCCACATGCTGGGATTGACATGAGCCACCCCAACCTGCTGTCACCCATCTTTTCCAGCCTTTTCCTGGTTTGTCCTTCACTATTCAAGGTGTATTTGGAGTAACGTCTGTCTATGCACCTACCCTGGGGATGTTAATTTTCCATAACAGGGTGGAAGATGCTGACTTTACCATTGGCTCATGGAGCTTGGGCCTCTTGCCCTTTCACTGGCAGAGGCCTGGGGGCGAGGGTCCTCGGGAGTCTGTGCAGGTGGGCTCAGCGTAGGCTCTCTGAGGTTCGGGGACCCGTGCAAAGATGTCTTCTCCACCCCTAGGTTACGAAGGTGAGAATTTGGGGAAGATTCTCAAGGACATAGAGATAAGTAAGGTGGTGTATCTCGATCGATGGTTACTGGAAGTGATACCTCAAGGAAATAATGAGAAGAGTGATCCAGTCCCCTCTCAAATCATCAATAACTACTTCTCCATTGGTGTGGTCAGTGGAGTAGGGTGGGGGAGAAGGGAGAAGTGTGGGCGAGGCTGGAGGAGAGCAGAAAGGAAGAGACACAGGGAAATTGGGAGTTAGGTACATAGTGGTGTGGGCTGCAGGAGGCACTGGAGGCACGCTCTACTCCAGAGCGGGGGGAGGCATAAAGAAGAGGGGAAGGGTGGGGCGGGAGAGGAAAGGGAAGAGAACTTAGTAGAGAAAGACCTCTGAACGGGGAGGAGTCTGGTGCCTAAGATATGCTTGTAACTCTCCAGGATGCTTCCATTGCTCACCAGTTCCACCTCATGCGAGAGAAATACCCTGAGAGGTTCAACAGCAGGTGAGGAAAAAAAAAAAAAAAGAGGGGAGAAGGGTGGCCCAGTGGTTATCTACACCCAAGCCTGATGACCTGAGTTTGACCCTTGGAACCCACGTGGTGGAAAGGGGGATCTAACTCTTGCAGGCTGTCGACTGACTCATGTATGCATGAGTGAGCGTACACACCAAATGCATAAGATGTTTAAAAAAAGAGAGAGAGCCGGGCGGTGGTGGCGCACGCCTTTAATCCCAGCACTCGGGAGGCAGAGGCAGGCAGATCTCTGTGAGTTCGAGGCCAGCCTGGGCTACCAAGAGAGTTCCAGGAAAGGTGCAAAGCTACACGGAGAAACCCTGTCTCGAAAAAACCAAAGAGAGAGAGAGAGAGAGAGAGAGAGAGAGAGGGAGGGAGGGAGATGGGATGGACACTCAGTGTCAAGACTGGATTTGTGCCAGGCGTGGTGATGGCACACGCCTTTAATTCAGTACTTGGGAGGCAGACACAGGAGGATCTCTGAGTTCCTGGACAGCTAGGCCTACACAGAAGAATCCCGTCTCCAAAGACTGGATTTGTGACCAAATTTGACACCAAAGGCTATTAGATATAGTCAGAAACACGCGCGAGGAAACACCTGAGCCAAAGCTACTGCCGTCCCCCCCGGAGTTGGGAAGCTGGCACCTTTTCTTGTCACTGTGTAACGGTCTCTTCTCTTCTGGGCTTTTTGTTGGGGCTGATGCAGAATGAAAAACAAGCTGTGGTACTTGGAATTTGCCACATCTGAATCCATCTTCTCAACATGCAAAAAGCTGGAAGAGTTTTTGACAGTTGAGGTGCGTATGAAAATACCCACTGAACCCACAGCTTTTCAACTTTTTTTTCCACGCCCCCCCCCCCAGGGTTTCTCTGTGTAGCTTTGGAACCTGTCTGGAGTTGTTCTGTAGACTAGGCTGGTCTCTGCCTCCCGAGTGCTAGGATTAAAGGCGTGCACCACCACCACCACCACCACCACCACCACCACCCAGCTTCAACAGGGTATCACATTGTAGCCAAGGCTGGCCTGGAACTTGCAGCAATCCTCCTGCCTCAAAGCCCTAAGTGCTGAGATTACAAGTTTTTCATTTCCTACTCAGGAGCCCTTGGGAAAGTCACACATGTGTGGACCTATATTTATTTGATTACCCAGCTCTCCAACCCTGACTTGCCAAGTTCTTAAGAAATACTAGTCCCTGGGCTGGTGAGGTGGTTCAACAGGTAACCAGCTGATGACCAGAGCTCAGTCCCCATGACCCACATAGTGTAAGGAAAGAACTAACTTCTGCAAATTGTCCTCTTTACTACACAAGCGCACATACATGTCCCCCCATCCCCCACATACAGACAAATAATAAATACATCTGTTTTTATACAGGGTCTCTCTTATGTAGATCTGACTGTCCTGGAGCTCAATATGTAGACTAGGCTGGCCTCAAACTCACAGAGATCCATCTGCCTGTCTCCCAAATGCTGGGATTAAAGGTATGGGCCACCATCCTGGGCTAATAAATACATTTCTTAGGTGGCACAAGTCTTTAATCCCAGGACTCAGGAGGCAGAGGCAGGTGGGTCTCTGATTTTTCAGGCCAGCCTGTTTTACAGAGCAAGTTCTAGAACAGCCAAGTGCTATGCAGAAAAAAAAACTACTATCTCAAATAACAATTATATATATATATAAGTGTGTGTGTGTGTGTGTGTGTATTAGGTCTTTTTTTTTTTTTTTTTTTTTTTTTTTTTTTGCTTTCTTCTATTGCACACCTTAATCCCAGCAGGAGCAGCCACATTTCATGACAATGTTATAAGGTGAGAATCTACGCCCTCTCTAGCTGAGTTCTGTCCCTCTCCCCTCAGATCTGTGGGAAGCCGCTGGATCTCAGTGAAGTATCCCTAGAAGGCATTGCAGTACTGAATATCACCAGTACACATGGTGGCTCCAACCTCTGGGGTGATACCCGGAGACTTCATGGGGATACCAGTTCAATCAACCAGGCATTAGGGAACGTGGCCAAAATCATTACAGACCCCGATATCCTGAAAACCTGTGTGCCAGGTGAGACAAGTGCCCTCGGAGCTAAAGTGGTCGGAGCTGAGGGAAGAAAGGTGTGACGTCTTACAGGAGAACCTCTCCTTTCTACCTTGAACCCCCAGACATGAGTGACAAGCGGTTGGAAGTAGTAGGAATAGAGGGTGTCATTGAGATGGGCCAGATCTACACCAAGCTCAAGAATTGTGGACATCGCCTGGCCAAATGCTCCGAGATCACATTCCGGTAAGGAGGGCTCCAGCCAGGGCTCCTGAGGAAAGGAAGGTGGTGGTGTATGGGAATGGTGGGAATCACTTTCTTAGCTCTTCCTCCATGACAGAAGTTTCAAAGCCAACCCGAGAAAGCCAGAGTTTTAATGTTTTGGTTGGTAAGAAAAATCTCAAACATCTTCCTTGTTGACCTCCCACAGGACCACAAAAACGCTCCCCATGCAAGTTGATGGGGAACCCTGGATGCAGGCGCCCTGCACGGTGAGTATTGCCTATGCCTGCAGAAGCTGGACCCCCGGGCTCCGTGGAACCTGTCTCCATTCTGCAGCTTCTTTACTTCCTCCTGGTGCCCCTGGTCCCCTGGGCACCATTCTTCCCAAACTCTGGCTCCTCAGTACCCCAGAACCCTAATGTCTCAGCCATGAGGCACCAGGACAAGCTTCCAAATATGTTTCCTTCCCTTTCAGATCAAGATCACCCATAAGAACCAGATGCCTATGCTTATGGGCCCAGCCTCCAGCTCCTACAATTTATTTGGCTTTTGGAGTTGAGGATGCACTCTGCCCTGCGCCCACCTCCCTGGTCCTGGAGATTTCCCTCTATGCTCTGTACATTGCCGCCACATGCTCCTGTCAGCCCAGAAGGATGTTTCTCTCCTTCACAGTATTTATTACCCCGCACCACCTCACTGTTCCCACAGACACGTCCATACCAAAAACACATAACATTGAAAGTGCCTCATCTAATAAAGTGTCTTTTTCCATCATTGGGAGATCTGCTAAGTGAGTGATACATCCCTTTTTATTACCTTCACCCCTTTAGAGACAGATTGAAGAGAAAACAAAACAAACAAACAAAAACCCCTAGCGCAAGGTTCTGAGAATTTATTTCCGGGATTGGTCGTCTCCAAGGGAAGACCGCAGGAAACGCATAGCATCGTGAGGGTACTCAGACCTGCTGCCCGCTGAGGAGCGGACTGTTTTCACCGATGCGGCGGCGAGTGCGGAAGACTGGGGGCAGGCGCAGCCAGTGGGTGCGGCCGTGCGGCATTTGGGAAGCAGGGTGAACTGAGCCCTGCTGCGTGAGTCTGCGCCTAGCATGGAGAGAAGGGGAAGTGGTCAGCAGTGGCATCCTGCCTGTGCACATCCTGCATCCCAGGTTTATGGCCGTGGCTGTGGTTCCTTCCCCTCTCCCTTCCCCTACCTAGTGCTCATCTACTCTTGTCTCTCTAGCCCCTGCCATCCATCCCCCCTCACCCCTATAAATGTCTCCACTTTGAGGCCCTTAGCATCTCTAGCTAGCTGGGGAGTCTGACATCCGCCTCACCCCAACACCTCCCCGCTTCTGGAGACACGGTCTTACCATGTAGCTCTGGTTGTCCTGGAACTCACTCTGTAGACCAGACTAGCCTCAAACTCACAGAGATCCGCCTGCCTCTGCCTCCTAAATGCTGAAACTAAAGGCGTGCGCCACCACATCCTGCTGAATCTACCTTTCTCATTGGTGAATAACTTGCTTCACCCCAACTGCCCTGGTTTTGTTTTTAACTTTTATTTACTTGGAGGGGGGGCAGCCCATACCACGGTACACACGTGGAGGCCAGAGGGAAATTTTGGGGAATTTGTTCTCTCCTATCCTATGGGCACCAGGGATTGATTCCAGGTGGTCAGCCTTGTGGCAGGTGCCTCCCCACCAAACCAAACCTCTGACCCACTCTTAATAGCAACCACAGCCTCACATCATCAATTGTTTCGCTCCCCAAGAGGCCTGCCCACATAGCTTCTAATACCATTAATCGTCAGACATTTAAAGCTACTTCAAAGGTACCACAGGACTTCCCCACCTGGGCTCTCCAGGACACCATGCTGTCACCCCTGAAGGAAGGGTGGGTGGTGGTGATAGTGGATGAGGACCAGGATGGCAGGGCTCTTACCTATAAATCAGAGATGCAAGGACCACAGCCGCCAACCCCAGTAAGACACCTACAAGCAAGGGAGCCTGCCCGAGGCCGCCGCCTTGACCTGTGAGCAGAACCCCAGATGCCGCCTCAGTGTCTGTCCGCGCCCAGCTGTCCTCTGTCCACTCCCGTTCTCCTAGTTCTTGTCTAAGTACCCACCAGGAACAACAATCTGGGTGCTGGCCACTGCCAGGCTGTTGGCGTCAGCCAAAGACACATTGAGGCAATAGGTCCCTGAGCCACCTCTCAGCACCTGGTGTAGGACCAGCTGGCAGTCTGGGCTTGGCGGCACAGGCTGGCATAGCCTCTGGGCAGGGGGCTGGCACCCTGCTGATGAAATGTCCACACAAGCTTCCTTGGGTAGCCTGAAAGAGTGTGAGGTTGCATCAAGAGATCTGAGAAGGGGCAGAACAACAGAGAGAAAGACAGTCATTCCAAAGAGTTCACGGGGCGACCAGCAGGACACTCACCCGCCCTGACAGGACACAGTCAGCTCAAACGCATCACCCTTGCTGGATGGCACGGCCTGCAGGATCTCAGCGTTTTCAATACCCTCTGCAAGGTTGCAACTTTTTAAATTAGTATTCTTCTACCAAGACCATACGCAAGAAAGCCCAAGGGATGCTCTTCCAATACTGTCTCTGCCGTTGGAGTATTCTCAAGTAAGTTCTCCCAAGGTATGCCACTACTACTGCCCGGCCCAGGCGGCTTATACCTCCCTTCCTCAGTCTCCAACACAGGCAAGACTCACGGACAATGTCCAGGGTGAGGGAAAAAGAACCATATCGATACAGAACACAATCCAAGGGAACTTGTCTCTTCACAAGCATTAAGGTGTCTGTGCCATCCGGTAGAGGGGCAATGGATCCTGTCAGGAAAAGATTTAAGGGGGCAAAGTCAGGAGATAGCACTCTCTTGGAGACAGAGACCAAGCAGGCTTTGCCCCAAGTACAGCCAAGGCTGCATGCTCCCAGAGTATGTGGGCTTTGAACCAGCAAAGATCTGGTAGGTCTCGTTTTATATATAAGGAAGCTATGCTAGAAAGGGAAAAAAAAAATGCTGTTTTTGTTTGTTTGTTTTGCCCACATAGTCAGGGAAAGAGAACACACACACACACACACACACACACACACACACACACACACACAACTCCAGGGCTGGAGAGATGCCTCAGTGGTTTAAAGTACTGGTTACTCTTGTAGAGAAACTGGGTTTGATTCCCAGCACCCACATAGTGGCTTATATCCATCTGTACCTCCACATCCAGGGGAAGGGACCTGATGCCCTTTCTGGTCTCCATGAGCACCAGGCACACAAGCGGTACATAACAATGTAGGCAAAACACCATACACATTAATTTTTTTTTAATGAAGAAAAAAAAAGAAATGACCAAAAAAAAAAAAAGTCTCCAGATATTTATCATGTCCCACACTGGGCTAGGTCTTGGACTAGACAGCTGGCCTGTGTCACCCCATTCAGCATCAGCTCTCGCTCATTTATTTTGCTTCGCAGGAGGAATTCAGGAGTGGAGGATGGAGAATCAGTCTGTCAGAACCTGAAGCATCTCTGCATTTATGCTTGAACAGGACATGTGATAGAGCTTTGTGAATGACCACAGGCTGTCCCCTTGGCTTCCTAGCCGTTATCCTTGGAAAGGGGGGAAAATCCAGCTCACTCTTCCCCTGTGACTTGGGGTTGGGGGGGCGGGAATCTCATTTCCTGAACGCTACATCTCTTGCATGCACTTGAGACAATCTGGAGGCTTTAGAGCTAGTGAGAATTCCGAGGCGGCCACAACGCTACAGAAAGGACTGGTGAGGCGTCTGGATCTTGGGTGAAGACTTCAGAGTAGAGAACTGACAGATAACCCACCTCCTGGAACGTCATTCACGTGTTCTTACCTGTGGAACTTTCTGTAGGCAGGAATGGGCTAGCATCGGGACCCTCGGGTTCAGGGGTGGGTAACTCTTCAGTGGTAGTTCCCGCCAACTCCGTGGCCGTTGCCTGCGCAACTGTGGCTCCAGAGGCCCTTGTGGGTATGGTACCTACACCCTCTACGGTTGACATCTCTGCCACGGTGGTGTCTAGGACCGCGGAGGTCAGCCGCTGCTCAGAGGTGGTCGTAGCTGTGCCCTCTGCGGTTGGCATTTGTACAGCTGTGGTCCCAGAGGGCTCAGTAGTTGGCATCCGGCCAGCTGTGGTCCCCCCAGCTTTTGCAGTGGTCCCCTGTCCAGATGTGGTCCCGGGTGTCTCCGCAGTTGGCATGTAGCCGTCTGTGGTACCTGGGACTGGGGAGGAGCCACAGGAAACCAGGGGGATGGCAGCCTGCAGGACCACCTGGGCAGTGGCGGAGCCGGACTCCAGATACGTGTGAGTGACCTCAGCTGCCCGAGAGATCAGGGCCCCAGAGCCGTCTCCAAAGTCCCAGGTGAAGGAGAGGTCAGCCTCAGCCAAGTAGCCGCTGGGATCGTGCAGCTGAAGGGCAAAGAGGAGCGGCTGGTTTCTCAGGAAGCGCTTGTTTCCTCCATCCAAGGCCCGCAGCTGGGACACACTCACGGAGAAGGGGACCTGGTCTGGGGTTGGAGCCAGAAGAATTAAGAGCCGAGCCTGAGCCACACCTTCTTCACAGCCACGTTCTCCACACACACACACACAAAGCTGGCTAGCCAGGTCTTTGTCTCTAAGGCCCACGTTTCTCTGCCCAGGTCTCTGTGCCCCTCCCCGCGGAAGGTTGGACATCCCTTCCTCTTTCTTGTCCAAGCCAGCCTCCCTACCTCATGCCCTCTGCCGGCCTGGCCTTGTTCCTCTCTAGGCTCTTACCGGTAATGGTGAAAGCCGAAGTGGAGTGAGCAAGGGGCACGTAGCTCTGGGCCCCTCGTCGGTGGTACACGGTCACTTCCATGGTGTGGGTGCCCAGCCTCGCGTGGCCTGTTGCAATGCTCAGCCTGGACACTGGGCCCCCCAGCACTTGCCAGTATTGTCCTGAGAGTTTCCGAGACAAAAGCAGAGAAGTGTGGGGGGGGGGGGACGCAACTGGTTAAAGAGGACGGAGAGGTACGGTTTGAAAAAGGCTCCAGAGAAGGGAGGTTGAGGATTCCCTCCAGGTGTTTGGAAGGGTGGGTTGCTTGGGTAGGATTATATTGGGAAGGGGTGGCTAGGAGGTCTCACCCCAGGTCTTCCAAACATAGACAAAGCTTCTTCTTGGAGGCGGAGGACCAGACGGGCAGGGTCCACCATCAGGGAAGATGCAGGCATCCTCAGGTTCCTGTGGATACACTGGCTGTCCTCCCCACACCTGGCTCCCTGGAAGGTAGATAGAGTCAACCTCAAGCCCGGGCATTCTTTTGTGCGCACTCAAACTCCTAAAATAGTTCCTAGTGGAATAGTACTGTAGAAGTACTCCTTAGCTGGAACTACGATCTCCACACTCTAACCCACATGGGATGGTAGTTGGAGAGTGGGGATGTATGGAAAGCACAACCTGAGACTCACATGCATATCGAACATAAATAAAAGACTGGCTAGCCTTAGAATAAAATGTTTACAATGGCTCTCTTGAGATTAAGAGCAGCAGCAGCTAACATTAAATATTTACTGTAAGTCCATGCAACCCTGCTGAGCGCTTTGTTTTTATTTATTTATTTATTTATTTATTTATTTATTTTGGTTTTTCGAGACAGGGTTTCTCTGTGTAGCTTTGAGCCTTTCCTGGAACTCGCTTTGGAGACCAGGCTGGCCTCAAACTCACAGAGATCCGCCTGCCTCTGCCTCCCGAGTGCTGGGATTAAAGGCGTGCACCACCACGACCACCACCACCCAGCTTTATATAGATGAGCCTGTTTTCATCTTGATAATAATCTGTCAAGGTGCCACACCCACTTTATAGGCAGGAAAACAAACTCACAGCAACTTACCCATCCAGGGTCACATCTAGTGATGGATTAACATGTAAGCCCATGCAACTTCAGGAATCTGCTGTTCTCTAATTTGGAAACTGATTTTATCTGCATTTTCTAATTTTAGTGCAATAAGTATATACTACATTTTATATATTTACAGTATATATTGACTGCATTGAATATAAACATAATTTTTTAAAAGAGTCTATGAGGGATAACGGTAAATGGAATAGCACTTGACAAGCATGTGTGAAGGCCTAGGTTTGAACCCAGTACTGTTAAAAAATAGAAGAGGAACCGAGTGGTGGTGGTACATGCCTTTAATCCCAGCACTTGGGAGGATCTCTGAGGCCTGGTGTACAGAGCGAGTTCAGGACAGCCAGGACTACCACAGAGAAACCTACCTCGAAAGAACAAAAAGAAGAAAAGGAGGAGGAGGAGGAGGAGGAGGAGGAGGAGGAGAAAGGAGGTTTTCTCTGGGTTTACTGGAGATACCTGGGAATCTGAGCCCCCGGAATAAGGTTCAGGAGGTACTGAGAGAGGTACTAACCATTGACGATGGTGTTGTTGGCCCAGATAACCTGCCCATCTGGCAGTACCTTTTGACCTTCAGGGAAGTGTAGGGTAATGGAAAAGGAGGCATTTGCACCAAGCAGCGTAGGTCCATCATTTCTGACCTTCAGAGACACCTGGCCACCTGGGAAGGGAAGCTGCATTAGCTGAGAGGCTGGCTTCTCCTCTCCAAATCTCTCTGCCAACCTGCTTCACTTTAACTTAGTCCTTACTCTCTTCCTATCCAGTTCCCACCGTGCCTTTCCCCAGAAGATTCAAATCCTACCTCTCCAGCAGTCAGGCCCCTGCACCTCTGTCCACTCAGGGTACAGCTGCCTGTTCCAGGCATGAGTTCTAAGTTGCCGTGGGACACCAAGCCAGTCCTGGTTCCTGGATCCTAAAAGGAATGTTCCATAAGATCCTAGGATCTACCACTGGTTGAGGTATTCTCAACCCTCTTCTTAAATTTTCTTTAAATGCTTTTATTAAAAATGTTTAGCTGTGTGTAGTGGTGCATACATTTAATTCCAGCACTCAGGAGGCAGAGGCAGGAGGATCTGTGAGTTTGAGGCCAGCCCGGCTTACAGAATGGGTTCCAGAACAGTCAGGGCTACACAGAGAGACCCACTCTCAAAAAAATTACAGAAACAAAAAAAAAATTTGTGTTTTGTTTTGTTTTGTTTTTGACAGAGTTTCTCTGTGTAGCTCTGGCTGTCCTGAAATTTGCTCTGTAGACCAGGCTTGCCTTGAACTCATAGAGATCCTCCTGCCTCTGCCTCCCAAGTGCTGGGATTAAAGGCACGCATCATCACATCCAAAAAGCTTTTTAAAATTTTCATTTATTTAAATTATTTATTTCTGTGTCTGTATGCTCACGTACACACACGCACACACATGCACACACACACACTAGACCATGGGGTATATGTGGAAGTTGGATAAATTTAATTAAAGCTTGAAAAGCTTATGGTACTAAAGATTGAGCCCAGGGTTATAAGCACATTGGGAAACACTTACTTTTTGTTGTTCCTCTGGCTGACCCACACTGTGAGAAATGAGGCTGAGGAGATGAGTTAGAGCAGTGGTTCTCAACCTCCCTAACACTGGGACCTCTTAATACGCGCTTCATGTCGTGGTGACCCCACCCACAAAATTATTTCTGTTGCTGCTACTTCATAACTGTAATTTTGCTACTGTTACGAATCGCAATGTAAATATCTGTTTTCCGATGGTCTTCGGCGACCCCCGTGAAGAGGTCATTCAACCCCCAAAGGGGTCAAGACCCACAGATTGAGAACTGCTGGGTTAGGGACTTCAGTTCCAGTCCGAGGTGTACAACCTTCCTTCTTTGCAGGTAGTTGGTTTTCAGTTGTTGTTGGTGGTTTTGTTTGAGACAGGTCTTCTGTGTAGCTTAGGCTAGCCTAGAATTCCCCATTCTCCTGCCTCTGCCTCCTGAGTGCAATCACAGATGCTACACACCTGGTGCTTTTCTGTTCAGATTTGTTTTGTTATTTTGAGACAGGGTTTCTCTGTGTAGCTTTGGAGCCCTTCCTGGAACTCACTCCGTAGCCTAGGCTGGCCTCGAACCCATAGAGATCTGCTTGGCTCTGCCTCCCGAGTGCTGGGATTAAAGGCATATGCCGCCATCGCCCAGCTTGTTCAGATTTTTTTTTAAAAGAATATTCATTCTTGCCAGGCAGTGGTGGCACATGCCGCCTTTAATCCAAGCACTCAGGAGTCAGAAGCAGGTAGATCTCTGTGAGTTCAAGGCCAGCCTGGTCTGCAGGGCTAGTTCCAGGACAGCCAAAGCTACACAGAGAAACCCTATCTTGAAAACCCAAATATATTATATATTGTTTTCTTATGTATGTATATATATATATAATATATATTATATATTGTTTTCTTATGTGATTGTTTTGCCTGCATATATGTCTGTGCACCAAGTACATGCCTGATGACCCCTGAGATCAGAAGAGGACATCTGATGCTCTGAGTCTGGTGTTACAAACAGTTGTGAGCTGTCATATGGATGCTGGGGATTGAACCCAAGTCCTTTACAAGAACAGCCATTGAGCTAACTCTTCAGCCCTTCAAAGTTTCCGTTGTTTTTTTTTTTTTTTTTTTTTTTTTTTTTTTTTTTTTCTTTGTTTGTTTTTGTTTTTTTGTGTCTGGGTTTCTGATTGTAACAGCTCTAGCTGTCCTGGAACTCACTTTGTAGCCCAG